AAAATGCCGTGGAAAATACCATATGAATTATGTAACGGAATTGTTTTGTGTTTACAGTAGATGTGGCAGTGGTGGTCAAACATCTAATGCACAATCCACAGATATTCATTGTATATTTTTGTGAGCTATCACAAAACGGCTTGTATTTGCGCACTTTGCTGCCTCTCTCTTTGGATTTTTTGTTTACTGACGTCCACAAAATTCAAATGAATTTCAGATTGGCTGTCTTTCTCGCTTCCACATTTTGGTCGCTCTTTCTCTCTCAGCATAAATCTCTCCTCGTTTCTCTCTCTTGTTCGTTCACTTCTTCTGTTTTTTTTGACCGTCTATATATGCGTTTATTTCCTTTGTTCGTTTTTCATCCGTAATAAATTGCAGTCATACGGTAATTCAAATAAAGCGCCATGCAAATAGGTATGAATAGGTGGAATGTGTAATTGAAATTTAAAATAAAAAAATGACTTTCATCGCTATGAAATGATATATTTGACGATGATCATGTTTTGGCCCGGGGTATACTCGATTTTTTTATTTGATTTTTATTCATAAACTGAGCATTTTTGCTTGTTTCGGGCTAAAAATAAAAAAAACAAAATGAAAACATGACTATACATTCCGCCACTGCACATATTTACATGTTAGTCTCGAATGCACATGAGAATTTATTGAACATAGAGAAGCATGTGCACACATCAAATGATGATGTGATTCGATCGAAAGCAACGAAAAACCAGTGAACAAAACCGAAATACGTGACGCGGTGAAACCGCTTTTATTTGAAATGCAATAAAAATAATCAAAATCATTGGTATGTATGTGTGAATATATATTTATCGCGAATGGACAGGCATGCAATATAAACGAAGCGCTCCGCTGCAATTCGTGAATGAGTGTGTGTGTGTGATTTCTTTTTTCGGTTTATTTCAATTTGTTGCTGCCAATTGCATACTTGAATTGATTCGACTTTTGATGTAGCTCCTTTCGTGTCAAGCATTACATTGTTTGTGTGCTTTCGTCATTCACCGACCTTTCTCTTTCGTTTTCCGGCCTATTCCGTTCTCTTCCTCTCGCTTGCTTGGCGATTTTCAATTTTATTTTTACTTTTTTATTACGGTGGTGTATGGTGTTTTTTCTCACAAACCTTCTATTTAGGTATTTTATGAATGAAATCGACATGGTAGTACGTTTGGCCCATAACGGTGTGACACAATATCATTCTTAAATCGTTTGACAAATAAGAATCCGACCTCTCTTCGCTTCGTGAAATTTCGATTGAAAGCGAGAGCTAATTTTTCTATTATTCTCTCTTTATGCCTTAAATTCGGGCAACACATCAATATAAAGCCAAACAATTTGAATCGGACATGGAAATTCATACATATTTTATAAACACATTTCCATCAATATCGTAGAGATTGTGTTCGCCTTTTTGTTTCTTTCGATGTGTTATCGTTGTTGTTTCGCTCAGTGACGATGGCAACGGAAATGGCATGGGGTGAATACAATTGATGAAGCGCAAAATGTAGGCAATTGAAGAAAATTTACGATACATGGTTCGTACATGTATTTCAAATGGATAATCGAGCGTGTTTCATGCAAGAGCCGGTATTGATATTGCAATGGACACTTGTACATCAGTTCTCCATCGCTTTGCATTTCTCACTCATGTTCGTTTTCTTTTCATTCTGAATTTGTCTGCATTTTCTCTTTAGTTCTTTTTCTTCTCTGTCTCAGACTTTTTCACTTTCTAAATTCTTTTTCGTTTGGTTTTTTTCTTCAATTTCAATCTCGACTTTTGCCTAGTCTTTCATTTTGGTCTTGTGTTCTTTATAGCTCTCACTAAACTACCGAACAAATCGAACAGAAAAAAAAAACTTATTCCCTCCGACGATCGTAGCACTAAAAACTTCCAACTTAAAACTGACTATTTGCCATTTCAATCTCGAATGCGATAAGTTCAACCGATAATAATATGGCTCTGTTCCGAAAATTCGTCGTATTTGTGTGTGTTCTGTGCACCAAGCGAAAGAAACGACGACAAAAAAATATGAAAAATTGAAAAATTCTCGGAGAATTTTCATTTTGCCGCAAATATGTTAGTATGAAAAGTGGAAAATTACAGAGCCATATGTAAAATTGGATTGACAAAGAGAAAGTGAGAGAGAGAAAGAGAGAGAGAGAGAGAGAGAGAGAGCGTTGAATTTCAAAACCGAAGAGAATTTGTAATTCAGTGAACATATTCAAACAATAAATTATCCATAAGTCTTGCACACTCCATTGTGTGTTTGCATTTCGAATTGCCACAGACGACAAATTCCCCAAAATGGAATTCAAACAAAGTGATATTTACTTGCAGTGTTTGATAGTGTACTTATATCGAATGAATTGCATTTGTAACTCACATTTTCATTTCATTTCGATTGGTTGTGTGTGTGTGTGTGTTTCTTTTATTTTCCTGTTCAAATATGAAATATTAAAATGCAGCTCACCAAGATTACATTAAAACAATAATGGAACGAATGTTTCTGTCGCATTCAAAGCATATCCGTTTAATTCGGAACATGAAATGTTGTTTTGGTGAAGTGCCGTACTTCCTATTAAATAAAAGGTCTTTCCGTTCGGACAAAAAAAATTCCATCGAGGAAACAGAATACGTTGCCCGAAGCCCATAAAAAAAGAAGGTTTTCGTTTGTTGATTCGATTTTTTACATTTTTTCCAACCGAAAAAAAGGAGCAAATAATGTGTGCTTTGCGAAGAGAAGAAAAAATTGATTTTACGCACCGATAATGATGGTATATATATAATGGAATGGTAAAAGGCAGACCTCTTGAGAGTGATTGAGATATGGCATGCGAGATAGTGAGGGAGAGAGAGAGAAAGACGTCATTTGATCGACAAGTGTTAATCGAAATGCCATTCGGTGTTCAGTGTGACCAGAACGATCGGATTTCTATTGCCATAAAAATGCTCATACGACGATGGTACTTATCAATATTATTTCATATGCATAATCGATAGCTCACCCAGGGTGTTCCATTATTTTCCTTCCACTTTCGCTAATGGAAAGTTTTTACGCATATTTTGCGACACAAAATTACTACAACGAATTCATTTTTGTTTTGTTCAAATTCACATCTACTGCAAATGTTGTTTAATTTCTTCCATTATTTCTATATAATACGAAAATATTAAATATTCTTACGTTTCTGGTGGATGTGATTCGGCTTATGGAATTGGATGCTTGTAACTTTTCATGCAAAATGCCCTCGATTTAAATGATTTGTCACTTTTGTGTAATGTCTTGCCATGCACACGCATTTAATATTGTAATGAATGTTTGTGTTTGTAGTTTTCTTTGGATGTTATTGTTTCATTTATTTTGATTTCACTCTCGTGCATTCATAATTATGAGCGTTTTACATCTTGTTTTGATTATGTTCGTTCCACTTGAGTACCGTTTTCTATATCTCGAGACACATAGACTCGCATCCACGCATACACTCACAGAAAAAAAATGCTAACAATAACAAACACCGAGAATGAGTTAATGAAATCAAAACATTTCGCACAAAATTGCGCGTACAGAAAGAGAATCATCTGTTCAACACTTCGATGTTGTTTTTTACTCGGTTTACAAAACTCTATTTCTCGCATTCTGCCATTTTTACTCTTTCTCTCTCTCTCTCTCTTCTCTCGCGTCTTTTCTATGTCTCTTTTTCTTGCTCTTCTTCCTTTGCTTCCTCTGTCTGTATCTCTCGATCGGATATTTTAATTTGAGTAACAAAAACAAAATTTAAAACAAATAAACTAACTCTCGGTCGGAGAAAAAAAAAAAAATAAAATGACACGCAAAAAAGTAAAGTACTTGAACAATTTATATCTTAATCAGAAACGCTTTAATCAGAATATTCCCATTGAAATGAATGTTTCGTTTGACCAGACCGAGCAATTGAGAAAGAGAACGAGATAAAATGATAGAATTTTGAAACTTTTACTTTCTCCAAACCGAGTAACAACAACAATGTACTTGAGCATGTGAATATATTCGAAATGATTATATTTTCGTACCGAAATCGAAATGTGACTATTTGAATAGAATATAGAGTGCATTCACATTCGTTCACCAGCACCGAAATACTAGAATTTCGTAACGAAAATGCAAAATAAAAAGGGAACTAACTAACGACCGAATGAGCAAACGAGTGTACGAAGCAAGCAAGCGGCAAACAAACCAAAGTCAACACGAGCTCACACACACAAGTAGATAAAGCGAGAAGGAATTTGAAGACACGAAAAACGGTGTGTTTCGTGCGGGTGAATGTGTGTGTGTGTCCAATGTCCATCATTAGTCTTTATCGGCTCACCGAATCCCACAATCTGTCCCTTTCGATTTGTTTTTGTGTCTGTTGTGGTTTTTTTGCTTTGCTATTGCTGTTGCTTTGTTTGGACATTTGATTTTTGTGTTAAAGTTTGAGTGTTCCGTTCCGGCAACCACATAACAACGGGCTTTTCGTATTGGTTTTCGTGTGTGGTGACACCTTTGCGTGCTTTCTCACAAGACCGGTGAAATACAGCAGGTTCTTTCTTGCACTCGAACAGTATACAATATCAATCATTTGACGGCACACTGTGGGAACAACAAAGGGAAAATAAACCGGAACGGAAAAATTCCCAACTTAGAAATACATTTGACCTAAGTAGATATGGTTGATCGAATTGCGGCCCAGTGTATGTGTGTACATCAAATGAAGTTAGACCACACACATGCTGGGTCTTTTTTTTTTACTTCGTTGCTCCTTCACAATTGCATTTTATGAGAAAAAAACGTGTCATGCTTTATTGTCACTATATATGCGCGTTGCACACACGATTGTCTCTCACGCGCGCTTCGAATGCACGCGATTTTTCCTTTTTCTGCTTCTAATTGACACTCAGTATATCAAACTAACAAACATATTGTTTGTCTGGTGTTTTTTTTTTTTTGTGATAAAAATCTTACTTGTTCTGTTTCCTATTTTTTTCTTTTCCCAAATCGCCGCCGCTACGATGCAAATCTCCCTTTGATCTTGTCGTCTGGTCGCTGTTTGTATACAAACACCAAAATGATCAAATCAATGAAAAACCGAAAAAAATAAAACGAAACGAACGGAAAAATAACAACGACGATGGATGCACGACGGATAAAAAAGAACATTAAACAAACAGATATAATAAAGCAAGAATAAAATTTACTTTTAGCAATACACATACACAGAGTAAGAATGGTATTTATATCACAACGAAACAAATCTATACAAATCTATCAATCTAGTCGGTTTCACATTCAAAGTAAAACTGCAGTCGTGTAATTAAATTTTGAAAATCACTGAGAGCGAAGTAAAATGATCGAGCGCAGAGAACTCAGCTTTAATGTCTCTTGATCTCTAACTATCTCTCTCTCACCCGATTAATGTTTTTGAATCTCTTTCAACGATATAATAATAATAAAGTAATGAGCGCTCGCCAAACCAACACAGAACGAATTGATGCGAAAATTACAGTTTTGACTGTGTGTCTATATGTTTTTTTTACGTTGTCGGTTCAAAATACGCGGTGTTGTACGACAGTTCTGAGATAAATATGTGCGCCTTTCGAGGTATCAGCGTACTGTATGACTGACGATAGCTCATGCGATACGAATTTTATTTCATTTTCTCGTCAGTCGTGTGTTGTTGTTTTCTTGTTATATTCCGGTGCTTTTCGCATGTTTTTGTGCTACAGAGAGGAGCACCAGCAGCCGTGGCTGTGACGGGGTCCGCGCTATTCAATATACATATATACACATCTTCATTTGGTGTCGTGTATCGTCGAAACTATGTTAGCCTTTATGGATGCATGTTTATTTTGCTCGCCTGTGGGTATGGTTGAGTGTCTTTCTCTCTCATACATATGCTCTCTGTGTAATATGCATGGATAAAAAGCTGGAATACAGCGTCATTTCAATACACATCGCCCTCAACTAAGCGCTCGAATCGGCACGTTCGCTTTCGCTCTTCACTGCCTCTCTCTCTCTCTCTCTCTCTCTCTCTCGGTGTGTTTATTCATCCCCCTTGCAACCACTCTCTCTGACCCATCACGAGCTTAATGTTCACTGAGGCTACTCTCGATTTCGATACCCAATATTTTTTTTTATTGTTGTTGTTGGTCTTTTCGTTATCAGGATATTGGATATTGGATATCGTTCAAAACATTGATTTGACCCGAATAATCGAATATGGCACTATTTTGAGGCACTGAGATTTCAAAACGATGCATGCTATTTGTTCGCAAATCCGCGTAAACAATCAGGCATACCGATTCAGTTTGCATGTTTTACATACTTATAAATGTCGCTTCATTCGAACTCGAACGGGCACAATGCTTTGACATATTTACCATACAACATACATTTGCTATTTTAATTTGGTTAAAGATGCTTATATCTTTACTTTTCTCTCGCTCTCTATTTCTCATGGTGTATTTCCAAAGCATAAGTACTAACACAGATACCGAATGATACATATAAATTCAACACAATCAAAACGAAACGCCAGACCCAACGAGTGTTTTCTTTTCAATTCGCTTCATTTCTTTGGGCTCAGGCATTATACTTAAATCAGTATTGTGTTCATTGTGATTTATTTTTAGAGCTAAATACTCTATTCGTACGTTTTGCTATGATAATTAATGCGCAGCGCTCGCTTGAAATGTATAATCGATTGTTTCTTAATTTAATGTTGCCATTCAAAAATGTAACAGACAGATTATTATTCAACGATAGGATAACAATAGAGAGAAAAAGAGGGAGAGAGAGAGCGCGCGAAAGCGATAGAGAGATAGAAAAAGAGAGAAAGAGTGAAAATGAGAGAGCGACTTATCATTAAGTATGATACAGATTGTTATGGCATGAGGATGCATCAGGTATAAAGTGTTGAATGATCACATAGATTTAGTGTATCATTCACTATCGTTAACAATTACAATTCCCGTTCATCACAATTGAATTCACATGGTACCGGTATTGTGCTGAACGATCAATCAACACAAACCAGTTTGTCACAGAAGATCAATCACCATATGAGACATTGCTGTGCCCCGCATCATCAATCGCTTAGGACAAATTTCATTTAAATCTGAGTTTGTCCATACCGAAAACGCTAAAATCACAGTACACTGACCAATTGCTTGTGATAAAATGCAAAATCCCCGCTAAGTCTGTAGACAACAAACGACGATCAATGTGCGCGATTATTTTTTGTTAAATGTTCATTTTATGCTTTCTATATATAGAGAATCTATGTATCTCAAACAATGTCTATGAAACATCAATTTCTATTCTCATTCATTTTCCGCCGAAAGTAAGTTTGACATTTACCAAATCACGTTCTGTGTGGGGAATGAAAATAATGGAAAAGTGCATCGCAGGCGATCAACTGAAAATCACTCTTGACTCGGTACGAATTGATTTTTATTGATATCGAGTGCAACAGAGTACAGAGCTAATAGTCGCATGGGAGTGTGACACGAGAGTTAAACAGAGAAGGAGGAAGGGAAAGAATGAGCAAAAGTGTTGAAAATAAATAAGCTTGGATGTGTTATTATAATATTAAATTATATATTGTGCATCGCATATGGATGTACGTGTGTAATAGAGCACGAATTCGATGACTTCGTTGCATTCGGTTCACTTGATACGAAGAATAGAAACAAAAGTTTAAGACAAATCCAAAAATCGTCTGACAAAAGAACATCCTTTTGATAGTGGATTTAATATGTCGCCAAGAATTATGCTTGGTGCATGGTACACATAAACTTTTTATTGGATTACGAAAAGTTTCATGCGGACAAAGTACGTAATAAATTTGTGATAAATAAGAACCAATAAACTTAAACCGGCAATTTTTCTCTTTCTCCTTTACTCAATTCCGTTCGCTTTTGAACTATTGAAAAGATTCAAAGGCTCCACAAACTTCGTTCGGGTCGATGAAATTAAATTTGTCTTGAGAGTTTTGTGGTCAGTGTGCAAATAAGTGAAATATGAGTTGCTTTTGATGTGAATGCTTGTCATCCGTTGAGACACTTACAGCCCGAGCCGTACAAAATATTTATTAAATGATTATTATGGATTTATGTTCAGTAAATGTGAATCACTGAATACATTTTAATTAGCCACATGAACAATGATAAATGTGATGCTTAAATTGTGACTCTATGAAATTGGCGTGCGTGTTCGTTAAATGTATCACAGCTAACGCTCTCTCGCGGTCTTCCCGCACCCCAAGATAATCACAAAATGAACGTTCGCGCCCATATTATCGATAATATAGATACAAATGTGATGCCCTTCTATCTAAATATATACACATATTTTACTGTATGTTTATGGCAGTGTAATAAATCATTTTATCGAATTGACTTTGACGTGTACACATTCATAAATCTCTCTCACACACACACATTCATGCTTAACGTCACCGGCGTATATCTGGATTATATGCGATATGCATGTATCAGATTGACGGCATTTTTCACTAGAAATTCAATATCTTCAGTTTTATTAAAAAGTTCTCTTTTTATTTGAATTCTGATGAAATTATTATGTTTGATTTGTTTGGCGTTTCGATCTCTGAAAATCCCGTATGCCACAAGGCATATTGTAATGCCATTCATTTTGAACTTTAAAATTGGAGAATTTGTAGAACTTGGATGTGTTTTGTATTGCTTGATGTATCGTCAAAGTTTGAAAAAGTTTCCGTTCTTTGGAAAATTCAATTGGAAAGCGTATTTTCTTGCAAAAATTACATTTTTATGCATACGGTATGTATACATGTGAATTTATTTGAAGTGGCTATGTCGATGTTGTAATAGTTTATTCAATTCGTTGGTTCAAACACACAAATTTTATCGGTGCCCAGCTCATACTATACATATATACATTAAGTGCTACTACCAAATGGTTTGGCACTGTATTATGTATGAAAAGCGATCCAACCGTTTTAATACTATAACTTTCGTATGAAAACCATCAAAAACAAACTTTAATTCAATTTTTATTTTGTCTTTTCGTATTGCCATATGAATTTGATACACTTGAACAAAAACATAAACAAGACATTTTCCATTAAAACGAATGAACAAACACACAATCGAAAGCATAATGAGTAATGAGTTGAAAAAATGGTTTTGAGAAAAATATATTTTATATGTACAATTCAATTCTTTTCCATTCACATACCACGAGGAAACTGAAATAATTGAAAAATGTTGACTTTAATCATAGTTTCTGAGCACGGATCCGAAAAATTCAACAATTCAAAAGCGATGAGATTTTTAGCTTAGTTTTCGAAAAGTGGATTTGTCAATATAAAAAATACTACAAATTTAATACTATTGACAAGAAAAATTATTGAAGATATTCTTGAAAAATCGTTCTATAACGTGTAGAACTTAACATCAATACGAATGTATGCATCGATTGCTTCCGATTTTCAGCTCAAATTTACATTCTCTGTCAATGGAATTGTTTTGTAAGATTTGACGAAATACAGCTTAAATGACATGATCTGAACTGTGTTATTTATACAGTTTAACCATATTATCATCATCAATAACTCCTCCGTATCCGTTTCAATTTGATTAGGTGTTATTACCATTCATTTTCTACTTGATTCAATAAATAGGCACATACATTGAAATTTTAAACCAGCACATAAATTCGATAAAAACTTATTAATGCGTGAAGGCGTCATGGTTGCCTGGAGGCACAAGGATGAGAGATGTACTTCCCAATGGAAGAAAATCGAAGAAAACTTGGTTTTCTGGTCCATTCGGTTTCGACTTTTTGCTTATGCAAATAAAGAAAGTTCAAGTTTATTTAAAGTTTAAATAAATAAATAACCTTTTTTCTTTTGTGAAAATGTGATGCTATATTATCAAATAAATGCTCACTCTAATGATGATAAGTGCATCAACAAGACTGTGGTAACTTCAAGTTTTTTGCTTCTTAATTTTTGAATTTGGGTGCTTTTCTTTCTCTGGCACATCAATAAATTCAGAGAACGTACATGTGTGTAGCTAGGATGGATAAATAAAGACTACGGTATTTTGGTCACTGTCTTGTTTTGATGATGTAATTAGAGAACTTTCCAAATTAAATGCAGACGCCATTGAAGTTTCTTGCGTGGTTTTTTGTCTTAAATTTCAGTTGAGTGGCATTATATTATTCAGTAGCGAAGACTGGTCGATTTTCAGTCAAGTTAAATTCAATGTGTTGATCTCTTTTGTCAGAATGTGATCAAATAATTCTGTCACATACCATATGTATAATAATGTGCTTTGTATAGTAAATTTTTCAATGAACTAATCGAACATTTGGTAAAAATTGCAAAAAAAAAATATTGGCCACCGTTTGATAAACATCAATCTGGTTTAATTTGCTTGACTTGTAGGAAAAACCATTTCATATATTTTTTCTTCATTGAAACTTGTTTATATTGCAACTTTATTGTACACAACATATGTGCGTGTTTGAACATGACATTTTGACTATCCGTATTATTCATTTTATTAATAACCATGTAAGCACTATATACCTATTGCGTCGGTATCTATATACATTTGTACATGGCCAACTTATAAATAGAGTTGGTTGTCTCAATTATTCATAAGAAAATCGGCCTACTAATGTTGAGTTGCAATCGGTCGCGCTCAAAGCTACACGCACAACTGAACAAATATATAATTCCATAAGATGTGAGCAACGGTTATGGTTGTACTGGTACTCATGATATCATTTAATAAAGATGACAGATAATTATCATTTCTTATCAGAGAAACCATCAATGCTTATGCGTTAGGTTGGTGGTTTTATATCAATGGTAAAGACCATTGACGGTTGTTGTTGGACTTTGGTAGCCTAGTACGTTGCCATTAACACCATACATGGTCACAAGGCAGGGTGTAGTCTTGGATTTAAAAAAAAATCATAATTTTCGAGGGTAAATACCCCTTCATACTTGATCAAGGTAGAAATTTAAGGAGGAATAATTGAAAAAAATATTTGCATCTACCGTAAAACTTATTTCGGAAAAAAATTGAAATTTTTTTTGGATTCTATTATAGGATAGTCAAGTGGACTTTCATCCCATTGGTAAGACAATTTTTTCAACCATGCCCATGTCTGTTATAGCCGCATATGCGTCGCTGGTCAATTCATTTAGAACTCTGATTATTAATATGCGTCCTCGATCATATGATGTAATAATAATAAATAAAAACAACACTTTATAAATGGTATCAGTTACGTTGTATGAATAACTTTACATAAACGTTTTGAATTATTAAGAAAAATAATACAAAAAGTTTCATTTGATTAAATACGATTAACGTGTTGTTAATAAGCGAACAGTATAATTGTAAACAACTTTGTTGTGTATTCTTTTTTAACCGTCAGTGTCACTGAAATATCTCTCTTCTTGGTGTGGTTGGGAAATAAAACGTCACATTTAATAAACTGACATCATGGAAATGTCATAATCGCAACCCAGATCTTTGCGAAAAATACATTATTCGGCTTGAATAAATTAAACATTCAACAACATTCATTT